GTCTGTATTCATGACTTGGTGTGTGTGTGTCTACAAATTTTATGTATTTCTACATTTGAATGTGTCGTCAAAGCATCATTATTGACATTTTTGTAATTAATGGAAGCCATGGAGCAGCTGTTTGCTTTGAGCTGTGTTTACCTACTATACATGTAGATCTTATAAATACTCTCTCTCCCTCCCTCCCCCCCTCTCTCTCTTTCTCTCCCCTTCTCTCTCTCTCTCCCCCCTTCTCTCTCTCTCTCTCTCTCAGGAAATTCTCTGTACCAAAATCAGACAAGTTGACTGTTAAAGATATCTCCAGTGCAACTTTACAGAAAGTAAGTCACATGACTTTCATGGGACCTGATCCTTTACATTTTTCAAAGGATTTCCTGACACTGGAGGAACAGGAAGGGTCAATTAATTTTAAATTTGGTATAATTTACGCAAAAACCGGTCAGACGACCGATAATGAGATGCTTAGCAACAGTAAGTCTTGTAAAATATATATATAATATTTTTTTTTTTTTTATAGAAGCTGGAAGCCCGTGTTTCAATCAGTTTTTGGATCTTTTAGGTGATACGATTGATTTGTTTGGTTGGGCCCATTACAAAGGAGGTCTGGATACTCGTAACAACGCCACCGGTAGTCAATCGGTATACACAGTGTTCGGTGGTCACGAGGTCATGTTCCATGTGTCGACAATGTTACCGTATTCGGAGGAAAATAAACAACAGGTGAAGTTATGGTATCTACGTTACGCCTGAGTGGTTTGGGGAAGGTGTGGCATCTTGACAAATTTGATATTTTAATTTGGTGAATTTGTGGTCAGCATTCGTGTATAGATACGTTACATTTAAAGTATCTTAATTGCCGCATTTAAAACCATATACATGTACATGTACTACTGTTTATAAATGGAGATGTTATATGCATGTACATGTACACACACAGACGTATCAATCCTTTATTCAAAGTGTTTGTTTATTATTCTTTTTCTTGTTTTTGTTCTCCAGCTGGAGCGAAAGAGACACATTGGCAACGACATAGTAACCATTATATTCATTGAGGATGAGGGGGCTGACACTGAGGGAGCTCAGGATCAAGAATCAGACGACAGAGCTTACCTGTCGGCTCTCTCTTTCACCCCTTCCTCCATCACCTCTCATTTCAACCATATCTTCGCACTCGTCACTTACTGCAAGTCGCGGGATTCTTATCGACTGGTACTCCACTCTGCCGAGAGTATTCCAAGTTTTGGGCCCCCTCTGCCCCCCGGGGGCGAATTTGAAGACCACTCTGCTTTTAGGGACTTTTTATTAGCAAAACGTAACTTATCAATTAATTTGTTATTATTATTATTATTATTATTTATTATTATTATTTTTGTTTTTTAGTCATTAATGGTGAGAAGGCTTCTTACTCTATCTCTACGTTTGCTGATAAAAGAGAAAGAACCTTAGGACTTTTAATGAAGGACATGGAGCAGAAATGTGGCTCAGTGGTAAGTGCATATTTATTATTTTTATTTTTATTATTATTATTTTATTTTTTATTTTTATAGTTACGCAAATCTTTGTCTCAGTTGAATATCACATCGCCTAGCAACAGTAAAAAGTATGTGGAGCTGCAGCAGTCATTCAGCGAAGTTGGAAACGTAAGAAATTTTAAATTAGACACCGCAGTTTTATGCAGCTGCTGCCTTTTTCTTTCTGTAGAGGATAAAAATTGAGAAGATAGTGTCCGGTAATCACCCAACTAGCCAAATGAGCACTGCAGTGAAGAAAGAAGTAATTATAATTATATTTATTTGTTTATTTATTTATTTATTTATTTATTTATTTATTTATTTATTTATTTACTTTGTAGCCCTGGGAGACTACTCTTTTGTTGCAAAGTTTTCCTCATAAAATTACCTGCGGGGATACATGCGGTAATAATAATACTAATAATAATAATAATAATA